GACGTTCATAACCTCTTTTCCAGGTGTCAGTTGCTGGGCTGAAGCACTGTGTCGTGGCAGAGCTACAGCTCTCACACTCTTCAGCCATGAATGGCAAGCATTGTCTGCTCAGGAACTTGCAGCTCTGATTGACAGCAAAGGCAGTGCCAACCAAAGCTGTTACTTACTGATTTTATTCTTTCAGGCATTACTTTTCCAACAGCCACAGGTTCCTTCTCCACTTCTTTCTCTTCAACCTCCTGTCCAGAGTCAGAGGGAGCCAGCAGAGGTTCTGGTTCGGGTGTTGTGCCCTGGGGACAGTCAGTAGAGTCAGGGACAGTCACCATTCTGTCCCTTGCAAGGTTGGATAGTTACACACAATAACAAAAGGGTCATTTGACACAAGGCCACTTTCTTGTTCAATTTTCATGCATTTCCTGAACTAGGCTGTTCAGAGGGGCAGGTACCCCCAGGGCACAATTATTCCTATGTGTCCTGCAAGGGACACTGTGACTCAGCTTGGAAGTTCAAAACCCCTTTTCCAGGTGTCAGTGGCTGGGCTGAAGCACCATGTCAAGGCAGGACTCCAGCCCTCACAATCTTCAGCCATGAAAAGCAAGCTTGCTCTGATCACAACTTCTAAATGACACCAAAGGCAGTGCTAATGTACTCTGGCACTTACTGATTTAATTTCTTCAGGCTCTGCTGCTCCAACAACACCCGCAGGTTCATTGTCCACTTCCTCTTCTTTCCCGTCTTGTCCAGAAAGAGAGGGAGCCAGCAGAGGTTCTGGTGTCAGATTTGTGCCCTGGGGACAGTCAGTAGAGTCAGTGACAGTCACCATTCTGTCCCTTGCAAGGTTACACACAATAACAAAACGATCATTTGACACAAGGCCACTTTCTTGTTCAATTTTCATGGGTTTTCTGAAATAGGCCCTGTGGAGGGACAGGTACGTTGAGGGAACAGTTGCTCCTGTCTCCTAGAAATCCTGCACGGCAATCTAAAGACTAAACAGGAAGAATCAAAACCCCTTTTACAGGTGTCAGTGGCCGGGCTGAAGCACCATGTCATGGCAGGACTCCAGCCCTCACACTCTTCAGCCATGAATGTCAAGTGCTGTCTGCTCGGGAACTTGCAGCTCTGAATGACACCAAAGGCAGTGCTAACCGAAGCTGTTACTTACTGATTTAATTTCTTCAGGCATTACTTTTCCAACCGCCACAGATTCCTTCTCCACTTCTTCCTCTTCAACCTCCTGTCCAGAGTCAGAGGGAGCCAGCAGAGGTTCTGGTGCCGCTGTTGTGCCCTGGGGACAGTCAGTAGAGTCAGGGACAGTCACCATTCTGTCCCTTGCAAGGTTGGATAGTTACACACAATAACAAAAGGGTCATTTGACACAAGGCCACTTTCTTGTTCAATTTTCATAGATTTTCTCAACTAGGCTGTGCAGACGGGCAGGTACCCCCAGGGCACAGTTATTCCTGTGTGTCCTGCAAGGGACACTGTGACTCAACTTGGAAGTTCAAAACCCCTTTCCAGGTGTCAGTGGCTGGGCTGAAGCACCATGTCAAGGCAGGACTCCAGCCCTCACACTCTTCAGCCATGAAAAGCAAGCTTGCTCTGATCACAACTTCTAAATGACAGCAAAGGCAGTGCTAATGTACTCTGGCACTTACTGATTTAATTTCTTCAGGCTCTGCTGCTCCAACAACACCCACAGGTTCATTGTCCACTTCCTCTTCTTTACCCTCTTGTCCAGAAAGTGAGGGAGCCAGCAGAGGTTCTGGTGTCAGGTTTGTGCCCTGGGGACAGTCAGTAGAGTCAGTGACAGTCACCATTCTGTCCCTTGCAAGGTTGGATAGTTACACACAATAACAAAAGGGTCATTTGACACAAGGCCAATTTCTTGTTCAATTTTCATGGATTTTCTGAAATAGGCCCTGTGGAGGGGCAGGTACATCCAGGGGACAGTTGCTCCTGTCTCTTAGTTATCCTGCACGGCAATCTAAAGACTAAACAGGAAGCGATAAAATTTTTTTTCCAGGTGTCAGTGGCTGGGCTGAAGCACCGTGTCATGGCAGGACTCCAGCCCTCGCAATCTTCAGCCATGAAAAGCAAGCTTGCTCTGATCACAGCTTCTAAATTACACCAAGGCAGTGCTAATGTACTCTGGCACTTACTGATTTAATTTCTTCAGGCTCTGCTGCTCCAACAACAGCCACAGGTTTACTGTCCACTTCCCCTCCTTTCCCCTCTTGTCCAGAAACAGAGGGAGCCAGCCGAGGTTCTGGTGCCACTGTTGTGGATCTCCTGGCTGCATCAGTCAGAGGAGCAATTTTGACAAGACTCTTGGGTTTTCCTAAAAACGGATGCTGCACCCAAAACAAAAGAAAAACGAAAGCAGCCATTACTTTCCAAATGCAATTTCTCACAGGCTCCAGTGGGATTCCTCTGGTTACCAGCAATACACATCAGGAGGACGTAGGGAACTATCTAGACCTCC